TAATAATCTCCAAAAATTGTTTTACGAAGCAAAAACCTCATTTCCTTACACAAAAATTAAAAAATTGCTTATATTCTTGAAAATATTAATTTATTGCAACTTTTCTGTTTTAATTATCATCTTTAAAGGTCATAAATCCTTCTTCTTCAGTCTGTATGAATACCAGTAAAGCAAATAAATTTTTACTCTTCATAGAATTAATTAAAAAGACGAAAGAAATTAAAAAGAAGAAGAAAAATTGAATTCTCTTTGCACAAATATAGAGAAGTTTAAATAGCAGTGGGTTCTTGCTTCGAAATACTTACAATATGTTTCATAGGAAAATACATAGAGGATTTACAGTATCGGTATAAAGTTAGTTACCCGAAAACTTCAAGAGCGTGTAACGAACCATTTCTGTTAATTTCTGTCTTTGAGCATTCAGCTGATCTTCACGGTAGTTACAAGCGCTCCAAGTTTTGCCAAAGTTCGTTAGAAAGTTTAGCGTGTTCGAGAGTTTGATAAGTTCAGAATTCGGGAGTTCAGAAAAGATCGAGTACGGTTATAATGTTCGGTATCGATAGTTCGGCAAGTTCAATTACCGAGCCTCGAAATACATCTGGTTCCCGGAAACTGAGGCTACAACCTTTGATTCCCCCGTTTGAAATATCGTACTCAGGATGGATTGAAATGATTGCAATATTGGGATTTACGATATATTGGAAAGACTCGAGGAATTCCTGAGAACATTTTGAGGGAATTTCGAGAATGTTTTTAAATGACAAATTTATTTTGTTTACGAGAGAAAGAGAAATTACTTGCATCGTTCAAAATTATTTTAAAAATTAATTCAGAGGATTTAAATAATTTGTTAGTGAATGTATATTACAATTTAAGTGGGAAAAATTATAATCAAATAGAATTGAATAATAAATTTACAGAATAATGATATTATACTAAAAAGAGTATAAATTTATTATTAATAAATTCAAGTGAAATAATATCAATATATAATTAATTTTACTGATATAATAAATATACGCAATTATTATTCATAAAATTCTCAAAGAGTGAATCATAGTATAGAACACTGAAAATGTGCGTATTTTGGGCATTTTTTTTCAAAGAAACTATTTACTTGATCACTATGAAAACTTTAAGGCTTTATTGAGTAACTATAGGAGTATAAAAAATATAGAAGTATGAAAAAAATTATTTAGAATTAATAAATATTTACTTGATCACTATGAAAACTTTAAGGTTTTATTGAGTAAGTATAGGAATATAAAAAAATTATTTACAATTAATAAATTTACAATTAAAAAATATTTATTTGATCACTATGAAAATTTTAAGGTTTTATTGAGCAACTATAGGAGTATAAAAAAAATTTGTTGGCATTTTAACTTTTTTAAGTGAGAATCTATTACAGTACAGAGCACAGAATGAAATTTGACATAGATTTTATACAATATAAACTCGTAGAAAAAAGAAAAGTTATATGAGAGATGAATGGAAGTAATGCATCATCATCGAGTTAACGATGCATGCAAAAATTGATTTAAACGTCCCGGATGTATATATTCCATAGTAGGTGTTAAATGATCTGTCACGTATTCCACCACAAGCATCCGAGACATTTGGTTAATGGAATAACGATGCTTTGCAATAACAAACACTCAATTTCATTTTGGTACACGTGTCGAGGAATTGTTTAACTTTCCCACGACTTCTCCTAGTCTTTCATAATTAATAATAATGTAATAGGGGCACCCACGTGTGTATAGCATAGTGGAACCAATTAACCTTGATCCAAGTTAACTTCACCTTACTTTCCTTTAACCTAATTAAACAGAGCTTTTTATCACATCAATTATCTTCATTGATTTATTGCAATGCAGTGAAGCTTCGTTATGTGATTAAAATGAAGATGACGCAGGAAAACGAATGAAATTGCAAGAATTTTAGTGAAATATTTAATTGACAATTGAAGAAGGTAGAGGTTAACAATTGAAAATTAATTCTGAATATGTAGAAAAAATAATTAAAATCAAATACAGAATATTTAGAATATTCGTGAAAACAAAGCCAATTTAAATATCAGAATTTTTCATGTACCCTTTGTTTCAATAATTATTATTGAAAAACGGATTTTAAAAATAATATTACATTACACTATTATTTATTTCACTCCTCAGAAAACTTTTTCAATGATAGGAAATCTAATACCCTAAAGACCCTGTAACGACGAAACTCATTGAAAGTACCCATTACACCAAGGAAATAAGAAATCACTTAAAGAAAAAATCTAGGAAACTTTAAATTTCCTTATAAACATATCAAATATTTCCATATATACATATACATACAGTGTGTTCATTTTAAATATGACTCTAAGTATCTAAACAATATTCGAAACAAATTTTATAGTATACGAAGAAACACGTGTAATGCTATTTACCTGATCTTGAAATTGTGGTAATGGTTAACATAGATTAAATTATTATTATTATTAACACTAGAACTACCGATCTTTAATGACAACCACTGTCAACATGTTCTGTGACAACCACTACCACGCTAATATTTTTATAAAGGGTGTCACCCAAAAATTCACGCAAGAAATAATTTTGATAGGAAACACAGATTTTTAATTGAAAATTGTAAACATTATTTAACATTAACACTAGAACTACCGATCTTTAATGGGTACCTAACTATAACGTGCACAAATTATAGTAATTTCAGCGGTACGATGAATACGAGTGAATATATTGCTTACAGTTCTTTCTTAATACGAGTTGATACCAATTTTATTCTTAAAGCAGGTGTATGTGTTCGGTGATTGCAAAAAGGAAAATTCTGAGTCCAATCATTTTGACTGGGTTGGTAGTTCTAGTGTTAAAGAACTATAATGTAAGACAAGTTAGGCTGAACATCGGCAGGGGTCGTGGCACGTCGTCCGCGACTTGGTGAGGACCGATGAGTAGCCGTGGAAAACATTATACCGGCGAAATGACAATGGTCGATGAGTGGCAATACATAAATAACGACGGCTGGACGAGCAGAGACGTTATTTGTTAACTCTTTTGGTGCTACTGCCGCCATGGCGGCGGCCATGATGCCTATTGGCGGCGGCCATGATGCCTATTGGCGGCATCTACGAAACGTTCTCTAGGTACTACCGTCGCCTACTGGTGGCATTTACGAAACGTCACCGATGACTGTCGCGATCCGAATGAAAAGTTTAGTGTCAATCACTCTCGAGATTTCTATGAATACCGCAAAACACGTTTTCGTGGCTTCCAGTGTCACCACTCTTGTGGAAAACTTCCTTGTACCACGAATGTAATATTCCTTTTGACTACATTAGCAATTCTAGCATTAATAACTATGTTTGATGAAATAAATATAGGTTGTTGGTACACTGCAAATGATTGTAGCTATCCAAAATCAAATGCTCGCTTTGTGCTGAAAATTCCTATATTAATTTGTCAAAATGCCTATATTAATTTGTCAAAGGAACCCTTGGGCCTGCCTAGCTGGCGACAGGCAATAAACAGTAACCTAGGATTCGGACTGAATGTTTAGAGCGACGTCTGAAGTGCGCGTGCAAGGATCGGATAAAAGAGATATTTATGACTGTATGGAATGCAAGTGAAGAGCGAAAATCGCCTGGATGTTTAGGGTACGTGACCCACCACGAGAGCGAGGCTATGGGAAATACGTGATCGAGGAAGAAAGCTTGAGTATGAAAGAAGACAGAGTGCAAGGTTTAAAGGAGGATGCAAGGGCTGTCCTGGGACAGTCCTGTTGGTGAAAGTGCGATACGAGGTTTGAAAGAAAGTCGAGTCGGTGATAGTTCGAAGAGTTGACGCGCGAGTGTGGATTCCGTAATTAGTTTAATCTTTTAGTTCGTATTTTTACTCTCAAGTCTCTTTAGCTCGTAAATAAAATATATTGGAATTAAGAACATCCTTTATTCCGTATATTTGCCAATCAAAACATATCCCTACATGTACGAAAGTAGAAAGAACGAACCAGAGAGATTGGGCATAGTTCAGTTGTAATTGAGTCGTAATAGTGAAAATAGGTGTGAGCACGTGATTGCGAGAAATTAATTAGATTTATACATAATATTTGAGTTTGATCATTTTTCGTAATTAAATAAAGAATTGTTCTTATTGTTTTTGATATTTCATCCATCACTAACAGAAATGACCCTGGGAAACACATCGAAGATAACGTTCAAATTTGTCAATGGAACTCTACATTTTCTACTATTGTACATAATTTTGTAACTAGTGTGGGTGTCCTCCTAGGAGATAGGAAAAGGAAGGGATGCGTTTTGTCCTGGACCTGCTAGTGGACTCATCAGTAAGGCCACCCTAGCAGGCCCTGCCTTAGACTGGGATACTATTGGATGGCCGGAAAGTTATATATATAGGAATTGGAGGTTTTTCGTGGGCTTGCGAGAAAGTCCTGGAAGTCGGAATCCCTTAGTGGCGAGGGTGAGAGTGATGGTCGCTACACTAGTATCAAAATGCTTTCAAAACACCGATTATGCGTATATTTAACCCTTTGCACTCGGGAGGCGCCCTTCAGTCGCCATTTTATAAAATTTCGAAGATCGGTATTAATTAATATGTCAAATTTAAGATAATGTAACGATATGCGAGGTGACAAAACCACATAATTCTACGTGTCAATTATTATACTATTCCTTCTTCATCGATAATATCCAAATCAACTTTCAACGTCTCATCCTCGAAACACCTAATCAACCCTCCTTGACCTCAGCCAAACACCTCTTGTCATCCACCCAAGGAAAAACATTAGATCATCCATCAAACCTCTTGGACTCGTCGACTTTTTTAACGATTGCCTCGTCAAATGGTCCCGATCCAAGACAACAAGATCGTGGGCAGAGGCGTCCGACGATTATCTCTCTCGGAGCTTCTACTTCGTATAAAAGGAGAGTATCGATGCGTAACTGGTCGACAGTGCGCCGAGAACGCGTGTCTCGCGAGGAGTCGATCTCGCGTAACGGGTCGCGTTCGATCGCTGGTCAGCCGATCCCACCTCGAGGGCATATAAGAACATGTCTCAGAGGGGACACGATAGCAGTGCCACGTGCGAAAACGAGATGTCCACGTCGAGAAACAGCTCGTTGCTGCGGCTGAACCAGGAGGGCCGACGTCTGAGCATCGAGAAGGCCGCCACCATTTGCGACAAGATGAATTTTCGGTAAGGATTCGCAGGATTTTTCGTTTTATTCTTGGTAACAGCGTTGATTGAGATGTGATGGAGGTTAGAGGTGAGAGCGGTTGGGAGAGTTGATGGATAGAGTGGGGTTGGTTGTTTCGTTTCATCGGGGTGTTAGTGTCTTGTGAGACTCGGTATTGGGATTTTGGAAAAGTTTTTTGGAAATATTTGATTTGTAATTTTGGCGAGATATAGTTTTGTAGAATTGCGGAATTATTTTAGGAGAATAATAATAGAATTTGGATGGTATTATGGGAAAATTTTAGTGAAATTATGGTAGAATTTTAGTAGAATACTAGCAAAATTTCGATAAAACTGTAGAATAAATGTAATAGAACGATGATGGAATTTGTATAAAATTTTAATGAAACTGTAGTAGAATTTTGTTAAAAATTTTGTTAGTAAATTCTGATAATTTTGATAGAACAGTAGGATAATTATAATAGAACGACTAGTATTTTTATATTAGAATTTTTATAAAATTTTTGTCAAACTTTAAAAGAATTTTAGTAAAACATTAGTAAAATTCTGATAATTCTGATAAAACTGCAAAATAATTGTAATACAATAGAACGAGGATAGAATTTTTATAAAATTCAGGTGAAACTTTAGCAGAATTTTGCATTTTAGTAAAATATTAGAAAAATTTTAATAAGATTGTAGAATAATTATAATAGGACAATGACAGGATTTTTATTAAATTTTAAAGAAATTTTTCGAAAATGTCAATGTAATTGAAGAAAAATTTAATTGCAATTTTACTTCAATTTTGGTAAAGTATTCGTATTTGAATAGAAGAACAATGATAAAATTTTGGTAGAAGTGTGAGTAAATTTTAATAGAATTTAAACAGCATTTTAGCAGACTCTTGATAGAGCTTTAATAAAATTACAGCAGAATTTTAGTGCAATTTCAATAGAATATATCTAGAATTTTAAACGAATTAGGTTGTAAAAAAATTTAAGTAAAATTTTACTGCATAAAATATTATTAGAAACTCAATTAAATTATACAAAAATTCTAATAGAAATTTAGAAAAATATTAATAGAATATTTAATAAAGAGTTCATTAAAATTTCAATTAAATTTAGAATTAAGGACGGTATAATAAAATTGTAATAAAATTCTAACTTATTAGAAACTCAATTAAATTGTACAAAAATTTTAATAGAAATTTAAAAGAATGTTAAGAAAATATTAAATAAAGAGTTCATTAAAATTTCAATTAAATTTAGAATTAAGGATTATATATTATAATTGCAATAAAATTCTAATAAGATTATAATAATATCTTACTAGAAATATTATATAATTTTTAGAAAATAATTTTGTGAATTTAATAGAAGAAAATAATCAAAAGATTTGGTAGATCGAAGTTTTCTTTCGAAAAGAAGATGTTCGCTGTGTGATTTATTAATCTTGAATTTTTCAAAGTGGAATTTCTCGCTTTCAAGTTCCATGAAGCGCAGATTTCAAGTTTGAGTTACATAGTTTGGAAGTTTCTCGTTTGAAGTTCTACCAACTAAAACCTTTGAGGTGAATTTCTTGAACCCGATATTCTTCATTTGTATTTTCCACAAACTTCTATCTTTGACACGAAAGATCTTCAATCCCCAAACAAAAATTTTCAAAACTCAAATTCTTGACTATTGTCACCTACTTTTCAATTTTATCAATTCAATTTTATCCACTTCGTTCCCTCGATTACAATTTCAAAGTTCTTCAACAATGAAATTTTTTGGATCAGTCACTCGGCCACGAAATTATTGAAACAAGTATTTTTCAAATGCAAACGTTTTAAATTATAAGGTAAACGTCAAATTTTCATATACAATAATTTTTTGAACCACTTTTCGTAGCTTGAAATTCCTCAAATTAGAGATTTTTTTATCTAAACATTTGTACTTCGTAGATTTTTAATTTTAAATTCATAAAACTCAAATTTTCTAAATTAAAATTTCCTAAATTTTACTATATGGGATATAGTTACATTTACTATATTTACTATATAAGATGTAGTTGTTTAAACAATTTTATTATACTTTTAAATCTCAATTAAGGTATCATCTAAAATATTTTAATCAGAATATTATTAAATTCAAATAAAAATAGTACAATTTTGCAAGAAATATAAATTTTGTACGATAATTTGTTATAATTTTCATCAAATTGATCCGGTTAAATTAAGTAAATTACTGCATACTTGTAATAAATTATTCATTCAATTAATTAATAAATAAATCAAGCTAAAACTGCCCTATATACCCTATCTCTTTTTATTTTATTTTAAATATGACTTTTAAATAACCTATCTGCGAAATGATGGATCGTACTCTTCAAAACGTCTCTAATGATTCAGCACACGCAAATAATAACAGTTACGAAGCCGAAGAGAGTTGCTCATTAATTCTAAACAGAGACAAGCGAGTGTGACGACGATTTAATTGAAATTCTAGTTGCCTTCAACGTTTCCATTTTAATGGACGACCAACTAGCTAATTTATTAAATTTAACTGATCCATTAAATTGTTTTGAGATGCAATTAGCTCGCAGAAATCAAATATAATTACGTTGCATAAATTCTGGACGAGACGGTATTACGGATTTAAGAATAAGGGAAAAAGCTCTGAAAAATTTTTAGAAATATTATTTTCATGGTAATATTTTTTTGAAAATTCCTAAATGGAATTCAACAGAACAGATCTACTACTTAAATATTTTTCACTAAACTCCAATAAATCTACTGTACACGAAAAAAGATATATATTGTAAATTGTTCATTAAGCTTGATTAATTTAAGAGAAAATTGAGAAAATATGACATAAATTTCAAAATCAGTTTCAAAATATAAATTAAGATAACAACACTATTTTAATTTTTTAGTTGAAGTATATGTATTTATAACGTGGAATATCAGATTGGTCAAAAATTTCTATAAATGATTTTTCTTTTTTTGGGGGGGCGGGGTGAATTTGTATATACATTACTTATAACATATTTCGTCACTGTTCACTCTTCATTATCGATATATTCCTTCATTGTGTAAATCTATATAACAAATGACTGTGGAAGTTGACTATAGTGAAAAATTTCTTATTGCATTTGCAATAATATTTATTGTTATTGCTTTATAATTTTCATTACACTTATTGCATTATGGTATTTATAATTGCTCCAGTAATATTACATCGTCATTTTATAGGTCATAAATAACCATTTCGACGGTTCAATTTTATACACGTTTCAACCAGTAGTCATTTATGGAAATTCGCAGTCATAAACGTGCAATTAAAATCAAACCACCTCCCAATCAATCCAACGCAAAAATGTAACAAACCATAGCTAATGGAAAATCGACTCATCCCAGCTGCTGTTTCGCTAAATCCATATAACCTACAAAAAAAACTACCAATAAAAATATAAGAAAGAAATCGAATTATCTCTAAATCACGATATTAAAAAATTACCTAATTAAAAGAGTATTTTGCAGAAAAAGATTAAATTTCATCAAAGAAGCTGTATTTCGATAATTAAGGTTTATATTCATTTCAACAGTATATCAGTAATGAATATTTGCAAATATAGTTAGGAAGATGCAATTAAAATCTAACTATAGAATCTTCCAATTTATCCAATTCAAAAATCTAACGATTCATACCTAATAGAAGCTAAAAATTTTCTTCTAAAACACTGCCTCGTGAAATCCATCTAACCTATAAAAAATAATGTAACTAAATAAATATTTACATATTTGGTATATGACATATAAATAAAAATATAAAAAGTGACCATAGTTTCCAAAATTAAATGTTAAGAAATTTCCCAATAGAAAGTTTCCTATCACAAAATGTAAATCAATCCAAAAATCTAACAATTCATACTTAACTGTACCAAATGGAAACTATTACGATTATTATTTCATGAACCTGTAAAACCTAACCTAGAAAAACAACTACTGTATAAGTAAAAATATCAAAGAAAATCAAAGCATCTTCAAAATTACTAAACTACTATAGATAACAAAATTTATATAAGATAAAACTTTTCAAAATTAATTATCACTTAATTAACTAACAAAAAGCTTCCTATCATAAAAATAAAATTAGTACAAAGGACTCATAACTTATAAAAACTACAGTAAATAACAAAATTTATATAAGATAAAACTTTCAAAAATTATTTATCACATTATTAACTAACAAAGAGCTTCCAAACACAAAAATTAAATTAGTCCAAAAGACACCTAAATACTTGACAATCCATACCCAATAGAAACTCACTAACTACACCCATCCTAGCCCACTCTCACAAAATCCACCTAACCTCTAAAAACCACTACGAGTAAGAATATCAAAATATCTCAAAGTACCCCAAAAACTGAAATACCTTAAAATTACCCAACAGAGAGTGACTTGTCACAAAGATTAAATTACCCGAAAAACCGAGTAGCCTGCGAAAAATGTTGACAAAGAGGAGCCAGAGAACCAGAAAGAAAAGAGTCACGAGATATAAAGTATGGTTGTCGCTTTATGTTACAGTGGTGCGTTTTCCCTGACGAAGACTGCCACTGGTATACTCTTCAAGTTCAGCAACATCGACGATTTTCAGGCGGTCTACAAAAAGGGCTTCCACAAAGTCACCGGGGCACGCTTCTACAAGAAGGTACTTATCTTCCGGTACACAAAGGACCCTTCTCTTCAAAACGCGTCTAAATATGACATTTCGTATTCATGAACACAGGTCGCCATACCCTGTAGACCGGCAAAGACCTTCACAGTCTACGTTTTGGACGTACCTGAAGAATTACCAGAAGAGGATATCAGGCACGCTCTCTACAAGTACCGGTCCATAGTCGAAGTTACGCGGCTACCTCTCAACACTGGCACTGTTCGTGAGTATTCCCAATGACATGATCCACTTTTCAGATCAGGATAGTCTATCATAAGTATTACCATAACTGGTAAGTTGGTATTTGGACAAGAAATGGATCTAATTGGTCGCAGTGTAATAGGTCCACCTGCTCTAATTCAAACGTGAACATAAGTCACAGGAATATTCCTCACTGATTGGAAGCATCATGTCAATAAATAGGATTATATTGCATTATTTGACGAATAGGTTAAACACGATACATGGAGACAAATGAGACAGAGTGATAGAGGTCTAATGTAGACATAGACTCGAAGGTAAATATTTAACATAAGATGAAAAGGATATCGACGTAGTTTAGCCCACTACTATGTTATAATATGCACCCAAGAGCCCGAAAATAGAAATTTCAAGGACATTAAAGATCTCAGAAGTGAACGAAGCATTTCTCCTGCTTCTGTGTCATCCCAAGTGCCAAATTACCAGTCGTGTGAATATCATATTCAGTGAATTAAGAAGTCCAATTCAATGAATGATGAAGATGACTATGAGTGACACTCCAACGTTAACCTTTTATAATTAGAATTTTATTTGTTTGTGATGAAAGAAGCCTAATGACTACTGGATATTAACAGATTTGTTGTGATCATCGTTCAAATCTTCACCAGCAGAAGGAATGAAGGAGGTTCGAGGTTTCTCACAAGTTCTTGGTGGACCCTCTGCTTCCTATAAATACAAATTTCTGATCTGCTTATGGTATCCTGCGTCTGAGGCATGGGCCTGCTAGGTAGCCTTACTGACGAGTTCGCTAGCGGGCCCAAGACGATGCCTTTTCCCATCTATCCTCTTTCTTACTCTTGGATCTTAGAGATAATGTTAAATTAGAGATAATGAGATCAGTAGAAAGAAAAGAAAGAAAGATAATGTGATACAATGACAAATTGAATAGAGCAATAGATTGGAAATTGGTTGATATTCAGGACCGAATCTGGCCATCTTTAAGGGTTGATAGATCCTCTAGAAAATCCCAAGTGTCTTCTTTCTTCATTAAATAATTAAATAGGGTGTACATACAATAGATATAGTAGCTCTGATATAGTAGATACATTAGAACACTTTCACTTATATGTACATCTCAATTAAATGAGACTTTCTTATAGAAAATTAGATTCAGAACTGGTGAGAATAGTGGTTAACCAATTTTCAGGATGAAAATTGTCCGATTTCCAAAGCCCCATCGTAAATTAAAGGAATAAGAGGGATAAATAGATTTTTGGGACCAATTTTGACCTACCTTGTCATCCCTTATCCCAACGTTGAGTTTAGAGTCCAATATCAAGACTCTTCTAACCCTTATGCCTTTCCTAAGTCCCTGACATCGTCACGTGAAGCTCAACTTCACAATTTCACCATATCGTTCTCACCAACTATACTCTCCTCAATTCTCATCTCTAAAATTATTCACATTTCAAAAAATCTCCAAACTCGAACACATCAATTGCACAGTAACTCGCTACCGAGGAAAATTAATGATAAGGTGCTAAACGTTTAAACGCGTATCCCAAAGATTTTGCAGGAATACAAAAACCAAAGTTAAGCAAAGAGAGGTTATGCAAAGAAAGAAGAAAGTGCTCACGAGGACAGGAAAATCGCGAGCTTAACCCAATTAGCCTATCAATTCCAGTCGTTCACCTGATCCCCACCCCCTGCCACCCTACGATCGAATTAATTTGCCGTCTTTCACCGCTCATTTCCCTAACTACGCGCCCGCTGACCCGGTGTCTGCTTTGTGAATTAGTGAAAGCGATCAACGACAAGTTGAAAAGCGAAGCTCACAACCAAAACGAGCCGGCGACGATTTACACCGGGCCACCCGTTATAAGGGTTACCCTGGCCAGCGTGGAGGAGACCTCGACGCTGCTCAGCCGTGGTCTGGATTTTTATGGGGCCACATATTTCCCCACTGAAACGCCCCATCCGGCTGCTCAACCCCTGGCCAAATACAAAAACAACAGGTGGGAAACGAATGTGTGTGCTTGCATATGCTCGCGATACCCTTGCACTCCGTCCCCACCCCTTGCACGAGTTGGCCTATCGAAATCAATTTCAATTTATCGGGGTCGTTGATTTCCATCCCCTTTCCATCCCCTGGTCACTCGATTGATCAACCTTCTTTCCACGTTTTCGGCTTTTCATTCGCTGCTTATGCTCACACGTTGCATTCTGCTTGTACATAATAATGATAACTGTGTGCGTTTTGTTCTTGGGATATTGTTTTATTCGGAGTAATGGTTGCAATCAATTTTGAGTAACTGAAAAACAAATTTGAATTTTTGGTAGTTTGTTTGGATCTTTGTTTGATACGTGTTTTGTGGGGCGTTTTATTTGATTGTGCTTCGTTTTTGAATTTTCATTTGTTTGTATACCGTTTACATTTTTATTCCCGTTCTGTTTGAATTTTCCTTTTTATTTTACTTTATTTGATTGTGTTTCGTTTGAACTTTCATTTGGTTATATTCTGTTTGTATTTTTACTTTGTTTTCATTCTTCCTGTGTTTCCTTTTCTCAGTTTGTTTTATTTGAATTTTTATCCGATTGTATTTTCAGTTTACGTATCTTTTGACGGAAATAGGAATTGCAATTACGATTATTGTATTTGTGTTCGATAAGATATTTAGAGGATTATTTAATTTGATTTATCATAAATAAAAATTGTAAACAATAAATAATTATATTTGAATGTTTATTTCTCAAATTTCAATGAAGTAACTACGAGAATATTTGAGATAACTTGAGATGATATTATTTAAATTATATACAACAGAGTACGTAATATAAAATATTTGTATTAAAGATGCACAGGTTTCATTGCTACGTGAAATGGAAATGTTGCAAACGAGTTGTTTTCCTCTCTGATTTTGGGAATTAGCGAGCATGAGAAACGCAAATTATTTGGTTTATTACCTTTGTTACAAAGCTACTTAAAGTCACAAGGAATTATCTTTGAGTTAAGCAAAATGTACATATGATTTGCAAATTCAGCATAAACTGTTATGCTGTGTTACAAAATGAATAACAAAGGCTAATGATAATTACAAGTCTACATCCTTTGCCTCATCGTGCTTCTCTTTGATAAAATAATAATTAACATTCAACTTAAATGCACTTACATAAACAGACACGCTTACCGTCTTCCACAATTCGGTGTTAATTAATTTTAATCATTTATATTTTGAAATTCAATTTTTTCAAAAATCAAGTTGACAAGGTATAATCTGATTGATTTTATTCCCTCGGTGCTTCAAAAAATTCGCGCTTAAAATATTTCCCGGATTAAATTATTTCGCGTTAATTATTATTAATATATTTCCATTTTGGTATTACGGGAGTAACGAAAAAGACAAGTACAACGTACTTCTTCAAATTGATTTTGACGTAATTCAAGCTTGCAAATATGAGAATGATAATAACACATAAAATATGGGGATAAAAATCTCTCTATGTCTTTGTCTCATAATCTACCAAAAACATATCAAACGATATTAATCATGGGACACCCTATATACTACTATAAACACAAAAATAATTTTCTGCAAAAATAACGTAATAACGTAAAAATTTATGAAAAAATTAAAGAAAAAAGAAAAATGAAAATGAAAAGTAAAATTAAAATTAAAGAAAAAAACAATTCATAAGCCTGTTGAAATTATCTCATAGACAAATTTATTTCTCAATGACACCCTATATACCACCATAAACGTAAAAATAATTTTCGGCAAAAACAACGTAATAACATAAAAATTTATGAAAAAATTCAAGAAAAAGAATTAAAATTGAAATTAAAATTAAAATTAAACAAAAAAGAAATTTGTAAGTTTTTTGAAATTATTTCGCAACCAAATTTATTCCTCAATAAACACAAAAATAACGTAATAACGTAAAAATTTAAGAAAAAATTAAAATTGGAATTAAAATTAAAATGAAGGAAAAAAAAAATTCGTAAGCTTTCTGAAATGATCTCACAGCCAAATTTATTTCTCAATGACAGCTCAACTATGTCATCGAGAAATAAAAGGAAAATTAAAGTCCTCCTACCGATTAAACCGAACTGGGCGCAGGAAAATGGCGCGCGTTGACTCCCGAAACGTCAATTATCCGGTTCGTTGCGTTTCATCGAAGACGACAATGCTACGAAACGTTCGTTGTTGGCGGAATTCAGCCGTTTATCGGCAGCCAGATTATTAGCCCCGATGGAAAACAGGCGAACGTATCGCTTGGCGGAACACGCGTCGCGCTTATGAATCATAAAAGCCCCGCTTTGGCTATTCAATTGTAAACCGTAAATTGGAAACGCCGAAAATACCGCGGCATCGAGATCCATTGCGTTGTTTCCGCTCAGAGAGCGACAAAGGGACCGGGGCGTATCGCTAGCGGATAAGTCCAAATCTGAACTCTCGACTCGCTTAGAAATCTGCTTTTCTCGTTATCTCAATGGCAAACAACATTTGCATACTATAGAAACATGGTCCGACAGTCGTGATTTCCCGTGGTCGAGTTCCACGAATTAATTAGGTGACTGAAACCTCCAAAAGTCAAAGAAGGAAGAAATCGTAGGAAATTCTATAATATTCTTTAACACTAAACGTACCGATACTTTACAGATACCTACTCTTACCATAAGGGGCGAAATGACCCTTCGTGGTAAATAAGATATGCAAAGAATTTTTCTCGGTAAAAAATAAGTTAAGAAATTAAACAATCAGATAATATAAGAATTTACAGAAAGTCAGGTGAGCGAAAGAAATAACAATAAATGCACAATTACAATGTAAATTTTGAAAAGGGTCATATGACCCCGCTTGGTACGTTTAGTGTTAAACCTTCAACCATTTTATTTACACCTAACTCTCATTCACAAAGGATCTACGCGAAATACACGTGATTTTCTTTTTCCATTTAATATAAATGCCAATCTTAGCACCAAAAATATAAAGAAAAGCTTACAAAAATATAGGAAAAGCTTCGAATTGTATCTTTATAATGAAAAATTCTTCGAGTATTAAATAGTATAGGGTTAAATACTATACTAAAGATTTCACTGTATACTGTTTCACGATTAAAACCTAACCTAACTTGTAATAATACTCACAAAACACAATGTAATTAAGAAGAGTGACTCGTTGCTTCGTGAATTTCGCAGTTTGACAACTACTAGCTACTAGCACAGAGACAGAGGGGTTTTACTGGGAGGAAAGTAATAGAAATCGAATGGGAAGCGGTTCATTTCTCAACGGGGCCCGCTATCGTCATTTCAGATGGCTCGAGCTGGCAGCCATCGGGGCTGGACAAAGAGTCAGGGACCTACTTCCGGTCTTTGACAACGCGGGCTTCAACAAATTACCACCCCCGGCCAGCCGGCTGATAAAACCGCAAAAAAACTGACACGTTCCTCGACTTCTTTCATCCCTACCACGAAATTCCACGGACTCCAGGTCTTTGACGATCTCCAGCCTCGAGTCTTATCGAACTCGAGACTGGGGTGTCGATGATCCGTGCAGCGTGGAACGCGTCGCAGAGGACCTGGGAATTCTTTGTTCACGGTAACGGAACCCAGTTGGTGTAACATTTCTGTTCATTTAACCCTTTCTAGGTGTAATAGAGAGAGCAAGAATGACACAGGGATGAGTTAAGAAATTGACAATTTGGATGAAAAATATGAGTTATTTATAACAGATGGAAGTATAAAATGTAATTTTACGATTGGTTTGTGATTAATAGGATTTAATTATTTTATTAGGTTTTTTCCTTATTTTTGCAATTCCCAATTTTGCAATTTTCCTTATTTTTGAACTAATCAACTGCAATTTTTGTAATTTTTTAACTGATTAGTTGGAATTATGATTACAAAATTAACTATAATTTTTTGGAACTTTTGAAATTTTATTTGCTAATTATATGACAATTAACATTTTTTAAAAGGAAATTTTCGTAAATATGATAATGATTAATTACTTACTAGCCTCTTTGGAATTTTAGTAGTCAAATATTAAAAAAGAAATTACCACAAATGGTAACTATAATATTTATCGGTTCTAAGTAATAATTTCCACAAGATTATTTGGTGCAAGAGAATTACAAAAAGGTAAATAAAATTAAAACAAATTTTTTAAACATTGTTAGCCAATTATATGACTCGTTAATATTTTTTAAAAGGAAATTGTCATAAATATGATAATGATTAATTACTTATTAGCCTTTTTGAAAATTTAGTAGTCAAATACTAAAAGTGAAATTACAACAAATTGTAACTATAATATTTATCGGTTTTAAATAATAGTTTTCATAAGATTATTTGGTGCAAGGGAATTACAAAAAGTGAAATATAATTGAAACGAAGTTTTTAAACTTTGTCAACCAATTATACAACTTATTAATATTTTTTAAAAGGAAATTGCCATAAATAATAACTATGATTAATTACGTATTAGCCTTTTTGGAATTTTAGTAGCCAATTATTAAATAGTCTAATAATCTGTATAAATAAAATTACCACGAAAAGTGACTATAATACTTATCGATTCTAAGTAATAATTTTCGCAAGATTATTTATGCAAGGGAATTAAAAAAAGTAATAAACAATCGAAATATTAAATTCGAAGGTATATCATAAAAATAATATTTGCAATATCGCTTTTGCCTATTATTTAATTTATGTAATTGATTAGTGTGGTTTCAGAAACACGATGTAAGAAGATAATTGTAGTATCTGATTTTTGTATCTATTATTACGAAACTTATTACTACATTGTGAGAGGGTTAATAACCTGCTTGTTACGCTAACTTGGTAATGTACTGGGTGAAACTATCTCTATAAGAGAATTTAAGTAAAAGGTACCTTTTCAAATTTTTTGAAAAATTATTTTAGTACTTACCTTGTTCGTTGGTAGTCATAATTCTGGAACACGTGGCACTGATGACAGACATCTGTTGCTTCTGAAGAGAAAGTTGAATCCTCTGAAATACGAAAGAAAAATGGAGATTAATTAAGAATATAAGTTGACACAGTGACTTCAATAATTAACGAATTAATTATTGAAGTCGAATTAATTAACGAATTTTTATTATTTTTATTATTCACAAATAAGGATTTATTGTTAACGAAATTTTATTATTATGACAGAAAAAGTAGCAAATCCAAGTTTATTTAATAAATAATTTTGATATATAGGAAATTTAAAAATATTAAAATTAAAAACTTTTAAAATTTAACTTTGAAATATATTTTATTAATATTAACCTAATTTTGACTATTGGAAGTGTATTTGATTTATTGAAATTTTTCAGGTTGGAAGAAATGTAACATTGCATTAATATGTTTAATATGAAAACTATGTTTTATTTATATAATATTTTCAGTACATTAATTTTAATATTTTCTTTCGTGTTTATGGTAAAAGTACGAATATTGAAACAATATACTTTTTCTTTCCGTTGTAATAATATTTTAACGATAACCTTTGCAATAAATTGTTAATATTCATAGAGATAGTTGAACCTAGCCCCAAACTTTATATGAAAAATGTTCCTATTTATTTTCCCCGTGTTTGTGCAAGAATAATATTTAAATGCAATAACGAATCGCTGTTCCTATTTAAACTGTATATTACTGACTCACAATAATAATTGTCCCTACATTAAAACTGACTTTAATAGACGATAACAGGAAAAGAATAATTAATTTACAAGCCTAAGTTGGAAGAAATAATATTTGGGTATAAAATATTCTAACACATAACACATGTTATTACTGTTCAAGAATCTTCTATTTATATAAACATAAATGTGAACGAATTAATATTTTAACCACGATAATTTATTTTTCCGATGTTATATTAACGAGAATAATTTTACACCGTGTAGAATATAGAAATATTTCGAGATAAACATTAAAAATTCTGAAGGCAGAAAAAAGTATTACTTTATTAATTAAAACCTGAATCACTTAACCCTTTGCACCCAAGAGGCGACTCTCGGACGCCATTTAATCAGATTCTAAAGATCCTTGTTAATTAATACCTCGAATTTAAAATTCCCTAACGATGCGTGGAATGTCGAGGTGAAATTATCGTCGACTTTATGGCAAAAAGTCTTCGAATTACTATGTTTACGTAACGAAAAGATTTTTGCAACGCAAAGGGTTAATTTCCCTTAAATACCATAATTCGCATTCGTATACTATCGTTATTTAATAACCTACATATCGTTGTTTAATCATGGATTATTTATTGTACAATAACCCCAAGAATAAAATTCTATTTTTATTTATTTAACTTTTTATTTACCTTTTTGAAATTATCGTCGAATTTATGGCAAAAAGTCTTCGAATTACAATGTTTACGTAACGAAAAGATTTTTGCAACGCAAAGGGTTAATTTCCCTTCAATACACGTATAATTCGTATTCGTATACTATCGTTATTTAATAACCCACATATCGTTGTTTAATTATGGATTATTTATTGCACAATAACCCGAAGAATAAAATTCTATTTTTATTTATTCCCGCGACATCCAACCTGACCGACCGAATAAATTTCTATTTCCTTTTTCTGGTTTCGCCGACGAGGACATAAACAGCTTACAGCAGTTGCAAAAGCGGGCTTGGAAAAAACCGGTTAACAAAAACTGACTAAATATTCTTGGCAACGAATAACAAATAAGCGGATCATCGTACAGAAAATATAAAAACACGTGGACGAAAAGGGGAGAAGAAATAGAAGAAAAATAGGCAGAGGTGGAAAGACTCAGGAGTGCTCTAACCAAAGAAGTAAGTATCCATAGAAATAAAGGAGAACAAAGAGGAAAAACCGATACACGCGGGGAAGGAAAACAGGGAATCCTCGGGATCCATTAAAACAAGAGGCACGCGATAAAAGAGGAAGGAACCGGAAGCAGAGTGAAGAGACAATTCGAGTGAGATCCAGGAGCAACAAGAAATTACGCAGCCGTGGGACGAAAAAATAAAGAAGAAAAAATTAAAAAGGAAAAAAACAAAGGAATAATGATGATAAAAATGTACAAAGAAAACGTAGGAGATCCATTAAAACGGGGACAAGGAGGTATAGAAAAAAATCCGTGGAACGAAGAAGAAAATGAGGGAGGAAAAGACCGCCACGAGGTTGAGGAACAAAGGAAAGGAGTGGCCACGGAAGTGTAGAACAGCTGGCAAGACGGGTTGACGGGCACAATAACGATAAATGTAAAGTTTGCGTACGCATCGTTAGTACCACTGCCAGGCCCGCAATAATCGTAGCTGCCAAGGAGTACGACCTCGCCCGGGGCTTACTAACTACTAATTGTTACCAACTTAGCGAAACGAAGAATCCTAAGGCGGCCTCACTCTTCGCGCGTTACTTCCCCGGATTAAAGAAATTTTACGCTCCGTCGTCTTGCGAGGGCAACAGCGCTGGTTAGAGGACGCAGACGATGATAATTGCTACGTACCCTATCTGCACGGCATCGAATTTCGTCATTATGTATACAAGTTCACTTCGTTACGTGGATCCTTACAGTTTTCTGCATCCTTCTCTTAATTCGCTTGCGATAGACTCGATAACTTCAGTTCACTGCACACGGTTATGTTGAACGATTTCTCATATTTATTATGGAAAATGGGATTGACAGGCTAGGTTTAAAATGTATTTACATTACGCGATAAAATGGCAGCACGCTCTATAATTTTCTCGAATAACTGTAGAGCAATCAGTCGTTATATATGAGCCGTTCACTGCACAAATCGATTAACTCCACTTTTTGAAAAATTTTAAATTCGAGTGTCAAAGCACTTGGTATAGTCATTACTTTTAAATTTAAGATTTTTCAAAAAGAAATTTGTTGACAAAAGAAATTGTTCGATTATAAATGAAATTTGATTTTACAGGGGAAAGTTGACTATGTTATGCAAAGCAGTTAATAAAGATTTTGTAAAAAATTACTATTTGTAGAATATTTTTGTCAAATTAGGAAGAATCGACAAATTTTATTTATTTATTTCACAAACCTAAGCTAGCTTCAGCTGACTGCACAGGATTAAGTTATATTTATTATGGCAAATGGAATTGACATAGAGGTTAGGTTTAAAATATATTTACATTACGCGATAAAATGACAACACTCTATAATTTTCAGCTTTTCTCGAGTAACTTCAGAGTGGTATATGTTAGCAAAAGAAATTGTTCTATTATAAATCAAATTTGATTTTACAGGGGAAGATTAGCTATGCTATGCAAAGTAGTAAATAAAGATTTCAGAAAAAATTACTATTTGTAGAATATTTTTGTAAAATTAGGAGGAATCGACAAATTTTATTTATTTATTTCACAAAGCTAAGCTAGGTTTAAAATGTATTTACATTACGCGATAAAATGATAACACGTTCTATAATTTTCAGCTTTTCTGGAGTAAC